CGATTTCTGCGACGGCTTTCAGTGGCGCCTCATTAAAATCAAGTTGTGGTTGTTCTTGTTGCTGTTGTTGTTGTTGTTGTTGTAGTAGTTGTTGTTGTAGTTTTGTATATTATTTTTACATTTTTGCATTGTTCGTATCAGCTGTATGTAGTTGTAGTTGTAGTTGTTGTTTTCGTGGCCTATTATTAGTATGGTTTACACAATATATACATAGATATAATACATAAATACAGAAGTTTGTTACGAGTTTCTATGTAAATGATATATGCTGATATTAATGTTATATAACATCCCTTGGAGCCAGTATACAACAGGCACACACACACACACACACACTCCAGCTCGCATATTAGCAAATGTTTAATGCGTTTTTCCTAAACTTCTTCAAATATTTGCTTTAAGAATAATGAAACTGAAAAAACTGGCAGCACTCACAGAGAGGTAGTCAAAACCTTGACAACAGCTAGAGCTGCGCCAGTTTTATAGTTGGCCCATGGGCTTGGATTAGGTAAGAGGACGACATCGCATTCGCATTGTGTGACTTTTGCACTGTCGTTCATCGATTCTTTTCTGCTAACTGGCGTCTTGACCCACTTTTTGTTTTGGCGAAGCCGAAACGTCAGCAATAGCAACAAGAAATGCTCGCACGCAACTACGTTTGCATCACAATTTTTACTGCCAAAAAAAAGATGAAAGTTGAGCCTTGCAAACTGCAGATGACCGAAGCCTCCTAGAAAAAATCAGCGAAGCGCAGCGCCAGAAAGGGTTTGACATTGACTTTGGTACAGTTCTTAAAGGCTCAACGGGAGATTTTTGAAGAATTAAATTAGCGATTTGGTTTGAAATTATAAATAATTTGAATAGCTTCACATGCGCAATATATGCTCAACTCGTTAACTGCTTATGACTTCTTGTTGGTTAAAACCATTCACTGTTACGCAATGGCTCAATAAATATTTTCCACATTACTAAAAAGTAACTAAACTAGTTACTGCTTTTGTCCACTGTCATGAATATTTGAAAGTGTGTGTGCATGTTGTGAATCACAAGAAATCGGATACGCCTCAAAGGCGACAGGCCATACACACCAACATGCTCAGTCATATCTATACGTGGGCAGTTCATTTGCATAGGTGACCCCGTCTCCGAGGGTGTGGGTGTGTGAGAGGCGGACTCAAACAATATCAATAGTCAGCAATATACTTTTAATAGCGCTGACGGAAATAGGCCGCTGAAATGGCGCGCGCCCTCGACCGCTTAACGGAAGTCGGCTCGATAAAAGAAACTTTTGCCTGACATACTTTTAGGCGCTGCATTAAAATGGGGCCCTCAATTGCAATTATTGCATTTTTCCGGTCGATCGATAATATTGCGTGATTCAAATAACCGTCAGCACAACAGCACAAACGCGCACATAACTATAGACAATGGAGATTGTGTTATATCTGGATGCAATTACTTGTGCCTTTTCAAATAATAAAAGTATATGCTACAAATAAATTATAAAGCACAACTGCCTTCGCACGTGTGCGTGCTTTTATCGAATGCTGCCGCTGTGGCTGCTGCCGTCAACGTCGGTCGATCTAACACAGTTTTATGTGGTGGACGAATATCAAGGGTAATGCTTAGCAGCCACACAAAACGAGCCCACACAATGACGATGCCAACAACTGGCGGGCGACTGTGGCAGCGCACTGATATAAAAACATAGATAAAAGAGGCAAAATACTTGCGGAGGCCAAGCTCAACAGCAGCAGTGACATCTACACGTGCCAGCACTCTCACATGCATTTATACATATAGAAACGCATTGGAAGCTACTCGTAGTAGGAGCTGTGTGTGTGAGTGTGTGTAAGTGTGTGCTTGCGTGTGCGTTTGTGTGTGCTGCACGTCAGACAGTCTCTAAGAGCCCGCCAGTGAGTTGTTTTCATGTTCACTCGCTTGGCATTGTGTCGTCATCAACCCCCAGCGTGGACGCACACACACGCCAATACACTCACCCACACATATATGTATATACATGCGTAGGCTTACCTGCCTACCACACACACACACACAAGCACATACACGAAAGTTACATTCATTCAATGAACTTAACCAACACACACACACTTGCACACACACACATATATATATATATATCCACACATAAATATATATATATATATATATATCCATATATAACACATACATGCGCGCTGCGTGTAGTTAATTTCCTTCAGCTTTGCTTTCTGTTCTCCGCACTAACGACGCACACAGCTGAGAGTTCCGCACTTGACTGATTTGGGTTTGCTTTGGAGCCACACTGCTTACCCGGAGGCCAGAAGGCCAGCTGTCGGTCATGCGCACTGCGTCCGTACACAGTCGTAGCTCGACAGCTGTTTACACTGTACAAAAGCGGGAATGCTACTTACGAGTCTCCACAACGAGTATGGCAGTGACAAATTCGCACAGCACCTCCTGGTGTCTTTGTAGACGATCCCTCACAACCAGCACGCGTTCCAGCAGATAACCCATCATCAATAACTCCACCTTAAGCATGGCACAGACATCCACCAGCTGGCGCACATTTAGCGTCTCCAAGACATTCTGATTTCCAGCCAGGCTGCTAGCCATTCTAGCCACAGGTCCCTTCTTGGTCGATCTTCTGCAGTGACGTTGCTCCTTGGAGATGCGTCTATCCTGACCCTTTTGACGACGGCAGCGACGCAGACGTCTGGCTTGCTGCTCTTGCTGGCCATAAATGTCGCATAGCAATGCACTGAGTAGAGTTTTGGTTTCGCTGTGGTTGCCTCAATTGTGTTAAGGCTTATCTTGGCCAAATGCTAATTGCAAAGCTCACCTCATTTCGGTGGCCCACTGATAGGACACAGCGGTGGGTAGTTGATTGTTGACTCTGTTGCCACCGTTGGCAATGGCTTTTGCTTGTTAACAGGCTGTTTTTGGCTTTGTTTTCTTATATTTTGGGTTCTCTTATGCAAAATATATAAAAATAGAAAGTGAATTAACATAGTAATCAAAGCCAAGTGTGAGCTGCTTATATTATTTAAATGTAATTTAATTTTGCCACATTTGTGAAATGTCAGTAGTTTGCATAACAGTTTTATTTATTCGAAAAAGTGCACTTTGTGCACTTTGGTTTAGTACATCAAAACAAAAAAACCTCTTCGAAACTTAAGTGAGGCTAACCTAGATCAATCCGAAATCAATATGACGGAAAAGGTAGTTTCAATTTAATTAATACTGCTTAAACTTGCATTATTTAAGAAGCACTTCACGCACTCCAATTCAATTAAAGTATGCAGTACTTATTTTTTAAGTTTCATAAATTTTTTATTTAACTGCTTTTTGCTGTTCAATTAAGTACGTGTGTAAGATCTAAATGTTCTGAGATAATTTTGTGACAGACGTTTCTTGCCTTATAACAAAACCCGGAAGTGGTACAAAATTTAAAAGATGTCAAACATATATATGCTTGCTGGCATGTAACTCAACACAAACAAAAAAGTTGAACATCCTTGGTCTCAGTAGAATGTGCGATCCATATGCGTATTCAGCGAGAAATTTCGATACATTCCAAAGCGCACGACATCATTCGAGAATTTCTGGGAGAGTGGAAAGAAACGCTTAGGTATGGTATAAGCATTGGGCGCATAGTAGCCATATTCGGAGTTGCATGTGCGATACATAGTATTGGTGTCCTTTTCCACGCCGTAGCCCTTAAAGTTGTCTGCAAGCCGAGCGTAGAGATTAGATTGAATGCACGCGTTGCAATCAATATGTTTGGCTACTTACAGGGACATTTGATGTCCTCACGCTTGTGCAGATTCTCATAAAGCTTGGCTGTCTGCACCACTGGCTTACGTTTTATAAATTTTAGAAATTCTACTTCGGGATTGAAGGTCTCCAAATCATCACAGAAATTGTCGCACATTTTGATTTAAATTCGCGCTACTTTTAATATATATAAAATTTTAGTTCTGAGTTGTTTTCGTTAAATTGTTAACTGCGCCTAAATTCGAGCTTATCGAACAAATAGTTCACTTGGGCAAAGGTTGCTTGGTTACGAGATTCGACAGTGAACGGGTATTTGAAACTGACGCAAAGAAGCGCCATTTGAAAGCCACCTGCCAATGACGCCTGCGCCCTATGCGCTGTCAGTTTGACAGATGATGCTGAATTAACCCTGTAAAAAACATATACACAAATTACCAAGCAGCTTGTTTTGTCTTCCTCATGCACAAAATGTACAATTTGTCCAATGTGCTTAACTTTATCATATGCATGGCGAGCTTCAGCCAATCTTTCGATGGCACCTTGGCGGTCAAGCGGGGACCGCATCATCCGCGCGGCGAGACCCGACGCGTGGACCAGCATCTGACACACGAGGAGCAGTGAGTTCAAGGGGGGTTATGCGTACCAATTTGATAAATATTTGGATTTTTTAATGCTCAATGCACAGCCGCATCGATGATGATCTAAGGGACATGGGTATACAGGCGAGCTTGGATGATATGAGCGAGGAGGAAAAGATATTCTACATGTTTAAGGTGCGTAGCTCTCGTTGAGAAGTCCATTGTCGTATATCTGTTACACACTCACACACATGCACACGTAAATAGGCTCACGACAATGATAACAACAATGCCCTGGATGGTCTTGAGATGATACAATCGGCCATGCATCATAATTATGATTACTTCAAGAACAGCGAACGCGACGATTACCTACCAAACGCCAGTGAAGACTTAGATCATTTTATAGGTAAGATAACTTATGAAATATACTTATATATGGGCTGAGGTATATTCAACGATTTAATAGAGGCCATTGACAAATTTCTACTGATTGCGGATGATAACAACGATGGGCTGCTGCACTATCCGGAGTTTGTGAAGGCCGTTACCGGCGGCAAGGAGCAGTTGGCCCTGGAGAGAAATTTACTGCGCTGAACTGAATGCAAGAGACCTCATCTGGACACAATAATAGATATAGCTTAGTTAAATTCTAGCGTTTAGCATATGTAATTCCATGTTGAGCCAATGAGACTGTACAGAATACACTTACACACACATGAACACATTTAAACATATACACTCTAGTCGCAGCCTAAAGCAATACTAAAATATCACTATATAAATACATTTTTCATTTGTACTACAATACATAAAGACGAGTATGATAAACAGCAAACGAACAGGCATCAATGCCCTGGCTATAAGAGGCCATCGCAGGATTGGGTAGTGTTGCAGCTGGCTCCTCGATAGCCATCGTAGGCGGCGCGCTCCATCAGCACGATGAGATCATTATAGCGCGGCTTCTCCAAGGGTGCGCTTTGAATTGTTATTCATACATAAATGCTTGATATGGAAAATATATTTCAATATATATGCTTGGCTCACCCCTGGAATATTTGAATGGCGCCCAGCAGGGCACGGGCTGCCTTGGCGTACTCATAGGCAGCATTTGGACAGGCACAGGCTGCGGCATACAGGCAGTCGTCGTGGCCGGCTCCCTGGGCAGCTAAGAAACCCATTATAAGATAGTCATCGCCGGAGGTGATACCCAGGCCAGAGGTGCCGTCTATGCGGGATGCGGAACGTGCATAGCCATGGCCATAGCTGCTCCAGTGGCCCGCTCCCAGTAGTCCAGCCGAAAAGATCAGCACCTTAAGCAGCACTATAATCAGCAAATTGGTCAGATTCAAGCTGAGCACCTGTGAATAGCTGACACATGCAGTAATTATGTCTCGGTTGTAATATGCAAATATGCACGCACTTGACTATTTCCCGCTGAGCGATGCAGCAGCTCTTTGGCCACCTGTACAACAACATGACCCGCCGGGCTGGCGAACATATCCTGAGCGCTTCTTAGCCACGATAGCGGTCGCATTTCAATCTGGCTGTCATTCAGTATATTGGCTGAGCTCTCCAGTGGCTGCAGCTGGAGGCTTACGCTGGCTGCCTGACAGCAGCTCAGGACTGCCAGCAGTGTCAGGGACAGCCAAAGTGTTGTTGCATAACTCCAGTTGGCTTGCGTTTTGTTTATTGTTGTTGCTGTCATTGTGGCAGATCGCGTGCGCATTGTTGTTGTTTTGTGGTGTTTTTTCGTCAGTTGGCGCGTCGTGACTGGTCCGAGGCATGGCGAGTGCCTGGCTTTTATCTGTCGCACATCTGCCGACCAAAATTGTTCCGCCCATACAGGTAGTTAGCTGCACAGGCAAGGCCAGAAACCCAAGCCCAGGCCCATGGAGACATTGCATGTTTATGTTGTGCCTCGCTGCACCATAAAAGAGAGCACGAAGAGATTACCGGCAAGAGACGGCGATGCAGCGAAAGATCGAGTGTTTTCCTGGTGTCATTAGCCTAAAATTGGCCAGACAGTTTTCCACTTCAAGGATTCGCACCTGCAACCGGCTTACCTGTGCTATTCTCTCGCCAATGTCAAATATTTCCAGGTAAACGCACGCGAAATTGAGCGTGGAATAGTCCCAGCTTAAGTTAAGTAGCACACATTTATCTATTTATTATTATTATTTTTTTTTTGTATCAATCATCAACTCTTTTATTGTTACTTGGGTTTCTGTTGTTGCTGTATTGCCGTTGAAACAGTTGGAAAGTATTTATGGAATGAATAATGAATATAAATGAATAATGCTTTTACATATAGATTCGCAATAAATTTGTTTGTCTTTCAAATGTTATTAATGTATTTGTAGATGCTTAATGAGCACGTTTAATTCAATTCATGTAAATTTTCATTTTCAAAATTTCGATTTTCATATGCAATTACAGACAACATACAAGTACATAATATGTATATAAGTAAGCGTGTATATATGTAGATACTTCTTTACTATACTTTCACAATAATACGAGTATTTAATTTGTATATTATTTTTCAACATATGTAGTATGTATAAGAATTATGTGTGTATTTTATAATATATGTTCGTTTGTTATTTAATATTTTTGTTTGTATTTTTCGTTTATTTTTGTGTTTCTTGTGTACTCTTGTAATATTTCAGCACTGGTTTCATTCATTATGCGCTCCATGATATTATCTTATATGATATATGTATGTTAGCACGATACGTGAATGGGTAAAGCCTTTATGCATATAGGTATAACTCTGTGCCTGTGTGTGTTTACCTTTTGGTCTACATTTGTCATTGTGTAAATGAATGTTTCTAAAAACAATTGAGTATGATTTAATATGTGCCAGTTGTCGTTATATTAGGTATTTGAGTTGATTCAAATGATGATGTTGCAGTTACGAATGTTAAAATGACTAAATAATTGTTAGCTCAGAGTTATTCGTAAATGTTTTTTAAAAATGAACTAGAACCCTTTGTAAACGTTATTATTAAATTCGTAATATGTATTCCGAGAACTGTTCGCTTTTGTAAAACACTAATAAAATTTGAGAGTTTCAATGAATGGAAATCGTTCTGAATTGTAAAGCTTATATTAAAAAGGGCTTGGCTAAAAATATTAATATGTCTATCGTTTCAATTGTATATATTTTAACTAAATAATTTAACTGCTATTTCTTTTTCTATAATTTAAAATACATATTTTATTTATTTTGTTGCCTGGCTCGAGGTCTGCCAACAAAATAATTAAAACGGTCGGAAAGGTCGCCAAAAACCAACACTAAAATACATATTTCTAAAAGTTTTGAACATACAACCCAAGCTAAAAGTTGGTTTAACTATTTTCGCGATATGTAACAACAAAATCAATCTAAATATTTATCTATTGTTAAAAATAATGCTTAAACATGTGCGTAACAAAATGAATAAAACATTTACTGCTGCTAAAGCATACTCTTCAGTTAATACTGCAATAAGCTTGTTCGCATATACATATGCATTATATAACATTTTCGTTGTTGCCTTTAACATTCACGAGTTTTCAATATTATAGAAAATTTGCCTGCCTCTGTTCTTTCAATCCATTAACAATTCGGTGTCACATATATGTGTATATAGCCATATATATGTGTACTATTGCCGCGAAGCATCCTTTGAAATGTGTTCATGTTCTGCTCTCGTAATTTGTTCATTTATTTAAATGTAACATTGCTTGGTTCGCAGCTGGTATTAGGCCCTTCGGTAGTTTGTTGAATACTTTGATTTTTTTGGTTAGCCGGTTAGCCCAATATCATAGACGAATATGTTTGTATGTGTGTATAAACATTAACTACTAATATAAGTACTGTATAATAATATTTGTGGGCATATAATAAACATTTAATTTGTGTGTAATAGCCTTTGTGTATGCCGTGGTATGTAACATTTGCTCATATATAATTATTTTGAAATAAGTACATATATACGTTTGTATATATTTATATATTAATAATAACCATCGTTTGCATTATAAACATTTAGTATATTAGTTGAAGATTCTTTTTCATTTTATATTGTCTTTTATCTAAGCACACGAATCCAACGAAATTTGGATTGTGCTCTTTAGTAAGTGGTTTATGTTAAGATTCATAGTTTCATATCTCATTTTTTGCTCCTCGTTTAACAATTTAATTTGGTAATTTTGTATTATTCGAATGAATTCAATAGCAAGCTAACATGTAAGATACGCTTGCAAATATGCATATTTAGCAATATTTAATATGTCATCAAATTTTTCTCAATAGTTATTAAATTGGATGTCAATAAAGTTATTCCCAATATTTTTCTTACTCTCAAATGGAAAAGGTTTCAAAACGTTTCTCGAGTGTATATCCTCCAGCTCATGCTGCAAAACCAGTCAAGTCATCATCGAAGTTTCATATACTTATGGGCTTTACTTGCATTATTATTGTTATTTTGGTGGTTATAATTATACATTGTGTAGTGTAGTGTATTTTCATAGTCTTCTTCTTCTTTCATTTTCATATTGCAACTGAGTAGTAACTGCATACATATTTAATATATATATATATATGTTAATAAATATATATAGAGAATAACAGGAAATGGTACATATACATATATATTTATATTGTAGCATATTCAAATAACTTGTATCGATAGTGAAAACTATAGTAACTCAATGTGTATAGGTGATGCTGATGCTGATGCTAATGCTGATGCAGTTGAGTATATTTTTATGTATTTCTATGCTTATGTTCATTCCCTCATGAAACCAGGAAACTTCGGAGGCAGAAAAAAGACAGTTTTCCTATAGTTTAAGTGTAGTATGATTTATACTCTGAACGCTGCTTGTTCTGCGTATATGTGTGTGTGTGTGTGTGAGTGTATGTGTGTGTGCGCGTGTGTGGATTTATTTTAAATCCAATTCATCTTCCTCTTCAGGCTTGGGGTTCCATCGTTTACTTGTTGAGTTTATGCTGCTAATGCTACCCGAATCGCTATAATCGCTGAAGGCCGCATTCTGTATGCCCTCATAGATCTTATAGGTGGAGCTGGCTCCAACGCCGCTCGAGCTCATGCTCATGCTTTTGGCAGCGCCAAAACGATCGCTTTTATAGTTGGAGGGCGGACCACCGAAGATCATGTCCGCGTCAGAGATGGAACCGCCGGAGCGCGTGTATTTGCCATTGCCTGGACTAGAGGTTGTTGTCTTGCCGTCCCCGAATATGATGTCCAAGTCGGATTGCTTCGATGCTGTAAATACAAATACAAGTTAATAACGGCATTCACCATCAACTTCGAGATGCACATCAATTTTGCGTGGGTGCAGTTGAGAGCCAATTCTAGCGCACTTAACACTAGCACTACTTATGCCAATTGCTTACACACTGATTAACGTGATATGTATGAAAGATGTCAGAATGAGCGTTACCAAAAATGCGTCCACAAGTGATGCACATATGACAGTGAATATGAGGTATCTTAGGCAATAAAGTATAAGTCATCCAAGAGTCTCTACTCAAGCGTAGCTCGTAATGAGTGTGCATGCATAACTCAAATGAATTATGAATCATGAAATGAATCAATTTGGGGTTCAGTTAATAAAACCTACATGCATGCATACATACATACATACAAGAAGGTATGTACTTATGTATACATCTCTGTTTGGGGCCAGTCTATGTAATTGAACTTTTTTGAACTTTTGATAACTCTGCATTTGCTTTCTTTACTCTTTAGTACACACTCACACTTACATACATACGTATAGAGAACGTTTAAGATAAATTATAGATAAAAACAGAAACAGTTGCAAATACATCTATTGAATTTTGGACTACTTGAAGCGACTGCAGATAGTACTTGTTGTTGTTTTTGTAGTGTCCAGTGTGGGCGTGTCTTTGTGCGTGCCGAGAAAGCCAGAAATTAACTGAGTTTGCGGTGCGGTCTATCGAGTAGTTACTGTACGGCAGAGTTCCTGTTGGTTGTGGCATGTGTTTCGAGTTAGCTGTGTTTGTGAAGATTCGTGCGTGCAGGCAAGCGAATAGCAGCACTGGCGAGTGGCGAACTTACAAACAGTTTGCGGCGCACACGTCGTATACGTTATGTTTGGCTTACACTTCTAAAGTTGGCTATCAATGAAGAAAATCAATGAAGAATACACAGTGGCACCTAATTTTCTTTGGCTAACGCTCGATTCGCTCTCTACTTGGCTAAAGGGGTTGTTATCGATTACATTTTAATTTGGTCGCTGCTAAGCTCGCATTATATATGTAATCTCGGTATATATGTAAAAGTATGTATGTTAGTATATAAGTATGGTATGTATGTATGTGTTATGGGTTATTGTGAGAGTATTGGTTAGTTGCGTTGATATTGCTGCTGATGCTGATGCTGATGTTGATGCTGATGCTATTACTGTTACTGTTACTGATGTGAGATTTAATGACAATGGATATGAGCGTAGTTCAATATATATTTGGCAGCCTAGCAGTCTAGGTCTTGCGCAGCGTTAGGCTGACCAGCAGCACGCCCACCGCTAGATAATTACCATTGCTCTCGGAGCGGGAGTAAGAGGGCCGCGTGTACGAGGGCAGATCGCTGGGATTATTGTAGCCGGCCTGCGAGGCCAACGAATTGGAATCGTAGCCGGAGGTGTCACCAGGCAGAGCCGCTGTGGTTACAGCAGCCGGCGCACTATAAACACTGGCCGATCTTATGCCAATAGCTGTGCGCCAATCATTGTTGGAGGCCGAACTGGTGATGGCAGCGGCGCCAACGGCACCCGTGCTAATCGCTGTTATACCGCTGGCCTCTCCGGCGCCTGTGGCCGTGGCAGCTGTGTTTGTGGTGTTAGTGTCCATGCGCGTTATGGTCTCAATAGAACTGGTGCTGTCGTAGTTGCCGTAGCTGGTCTTGTCTTTGCTGAGTGAGCTGCTGAAGCTGCTGCGATAGGCGCTGGCGCTGACGCTGGAGCTGTTCGTATTCGTGTTGATGTTGGCATTGGAGCTCACATTGGGCGGCGGTGGTGGCGGCCCAGCTGGTGGTGGCGGTGATTTGATGGGGTTGCCATTCCGATTGATGCGTGACGAAATCGAAGACGAGGATATTGATGATGAAGATGAGGTTGTGTTCGAGGCAGCGCCGATGCTAGCGATGCTAACAGACTTGTGTGGCTCCTTGTCGAATGGATTGACGCGTTCCTGTGGCTCAAAGTTGGTTACTGGCTGGTAGCCGCCAGTTGTTGTTGGGTTATCCGTAGTTGTATTAACGCTATCCGAAACGCTGGCAGCAACCCTAGCGGTTGAGCTGACCGCTGTTGTTGCTGCTGCTGGCTCCTCCAGCGGTCGACTGGGCTGTGTAGAGATCACATCCATGCCGCTAGATTTGCCGCCCGAGGCGAACGAGAACTGCTTTCCCAGAAAAGAGCCGCTGAAGGCACTGCCTCCGCTGCTGGTGGGTCCAGCGCTGCTGGGCACGCTGCCCAGGCCGCTGCTGTTACTTGTCTCGCTCGCCGTTCTGCCGCGTTTCTTATTAGCGATTTCCTACATGTCACCAAAGATCCCCGCAAAAGTCTTCCTCAGGTTCTTCATGGTGTCCTCCGCGTCCTCAACGACAGAGGTCTGAGTTTGCGGAGGACGCTGTCCGACCCTGGACACCGACGAGATGCTCGATGCCTGCGACGTTTGCGAATCGCGGCGCACGCCACCCACTGTGCTGGGCACCGACGAGGAAGGCTCCTCTGGCAGCTCTGAAATGCTGCTGCGGCTGCTCAGCCGCCCAATGGAGCCCACCGCCGGAGAGGTGCGTTCCGGAATCGGCGGTGGTCCGCCCATCGGTGCTGGCCTGGGCCCGGCGGGCAGCGGCGGTGTAGGTGCCAGGTCATCAGTAGGACTCTCGGCGCGAGAAGAGACCGATGATCGTGATGGCAACTTAGCAGGTCCAGTCTGTGCCATACTGGGACGGCAGACATTCTGTATGTTGTGTACAAGCTGTAAATAAGAGCTCAAACGTTGTTCTGGTATCTAAACTCACCTGCATGCGTCCCGACACCAGATCGGCTATCTGCCTGCGATCTTCCTCCTGGCTGTCGCCAATTAGAGCGAAGGTGCTATCACAGGCACTAATAATGTACTCGCGTCCATCTTTTCCTACCACCACCGAGACGCCGCACACCTCCATGCCGCCAAACAGTTCCGATATCTGTAAATAATACGATATATAGTATGCACATATATTTACAAGTGACTGTACATAGCTCGACTGCATCAAAATCATAATCTGTTTTCGATTTCATGCACAGTTCACAGTTCTTCTTCTGTGTGGGCTGCTGTTGCAGTTGTTACTTTTTTTGCGTTTGTTATACTCTGTTTCGCAAGGTAGCGAGTATATTGGTTTTATGCGAAGTTTCACTTGTCCCCTTTCGCTATGAGAATTGCAAACATTTATATGTTTTTCATGAAAAAAACATTGAGAGAAAATTTCCTATCTCTCATAATATTTAGACTTAATGAACAGGAACACCGAATATAAAGTACTCTTATATATATATATCTATGCATAATTAAGAATTCTTTTAAAGAAGAGCTTTATATTCAAATGATTGTTCGTTTAGAAACGTTTGCACCCATAATTTAGAGACTGTGATTACGCTGGGCACAGAGTATCGCGCAGTCGGGAGATGGCAGCTGCAACGTTTTGACTGGTTGTTGTTGCAGTTGCTCTCGCCAGCTTTTGGTTTTAATTACAAACACAGTTTGTTTTGATTAGAGGTTTGTTTTGATTAGCTTAGAACTGTGGACATCAGATCTCTGATGAGGTATACGGCCACCCACCCAAAAGCTCATAACTGAACTGCCGCGCTGCTCGGCAGCTTATCTAAGCAATGTGCAAATTGCAAGAATTGCGGCTCAATTATGCGCATATGCGGATATTCTGAGTCAGCCTTGGGCGCAGCTATTTTCGAGCTGAGTTCTATGCCATTTATGGCAATGATAAAATGCCGCATTTGATGGCATTCTCATGTTTCACAGTAATTATTGCGGTACTCAGTGTACCCGTTGCATCATAACTAATTCGCGTAGTATCTAAGTGCACTCTGTTTACGCTAATGCGCTTTGCATATTCATGAATGTTCGAATTATTCGAAGCAAGCGCCGGCTCTCGATCGGCTTGTGGGGCCCAACACCGCCCAGGGTTAAAACCCACCGAAACCAAAATGTGAGCCCAAAATGTGCCGCAAATAATTCAAGTCGATTTTGCAGCTATTTTGATTGGCAACGTTTGATAAATGTGCGCTTCGCTCTGGGCTGCCTTTCACATACATGCTCACAAATGCAGCCTAAGCGTAATTTTTTGCTCTATAAATGGGCATCTCAGCTTTCTGATCAGGCCGCCAAAACATAGAAGACTGCATATATCTATTGGCTAAACAATAAAATGCTGAAGAAGAGTATGTAGTAGAGTAGAATAGCAACATCATTTAAAATGATTTTGCTTTGCTGTTAGTGTATTGAAAGTTCGTAGCGTTCGAATTGGTTTGCATCTGATATTTGACTTACTGTTTCAAGTCAGCCAGCCGAATTGTGAGACTTACCTCATCCACCCAGGTTTTGTACTTCTCGGTTAAAGTGATTTGCTCGAGCATGGCGGAGCCTTGATTGGTCTTCCAATTTCCAGTGATGGATTTGCGCCTGTAACAGAGAGCGGCAAGCATGAAAACATAATAAATTAGTCGAAAAAGCGTAGATAATGTGCAGAGGCAGACGATTTGCATTGGGGTTACTTTGAACTCGCGGTCGAATTTCGTGAACCCAGACAATGAACTGCACTTGGTAGATAATTGCCAATTGGGCTGCATTTAGGTTCCTTTTGTTTGCTGACAGTTGCAGCTAGGCCCAAGGTCAATTGCCAGGCAGCGGCATATGCACTCGACCTTATACCCATCAAGTCAGACGTCGCCATCTACATTGATATCAAGTCTTTCAGCTTTTAGCGTTGCGTTGCCGGTGCCTGTCTGCGGCTTGTGGTCTGGACATGTGGTCACTTACATAAATGCCTTGTAGTTGTTGCCAATCTTTTGAATGTGCACGCTGAACTTGGCATCGATGTAGGGCTCGATGGTGCAATAACAATGCGAATCGTTTCCAGCGCCGCTAACAAGTCCGGCGGCATCTTGCAACGCGCTCTGATTCTCCAGACGGGCTGTGGCCACTCCGCCATGGCAATGTCCAGCCTTCAGTACGCTGGGGAACTTGGTGAATTGGAACTGCAGTGATGAAAAGCAGCAAGGTCTAAAGTTAAGACTTATTGGAAATATGTGTATATGGAATAAAGTATATTGATGATACTTTGTTTGTTGTTGGTTTTTCTTTCATTTGCTGAGCAAATTTGTTGGAAGAGCGCCAAAATCGGGTTGCGGGTCGTTATTTTTGCTCGACTTCCGATTTTTATTTTTTTCTTATTGAATTAGTATATTATAGTATATACGATATTAAACGTGTGGGTGGAAATGTTGTTGAATGTGCGCCAAGTTTTTTGGCTCAAAATGCAACTTTCCACGAATTTGTTTGATTTTTATCGTGAAATATTTTCTAATTGAATACTTGTTAGTCAAGATCGATATTAATAAAACAATAGAGAATAATGCGTAGTTTATTAAACTATTTTTATATTCATTTTTAAATTTAATTTCAAACTCTTGCATATCTTTTATTTATTCATATCTATTTATAATAATTTCCAAGTTCGTTAACATATTTTTAATATTTTCTAATAGGCGCTGAAACATCGCCGAGCTTATTACACATATATATATTCGGTTCACAGCCATTCCCATCCCCATCCCCATCCCCAGATCCAACCCCAATATTTATCTCACAAATAGCACATAAATCATGTACAAGCAACTGCACACATTTTAAATTTATTGAAAGCACCAAAGAAAATATCAACAAACCATAACAAATGATGACGCAGACAGAAAAATTGTCGCAATTGGCGCGAGGCACAGGAAAACGCTCAATGAATATCAATGACAAAGTCGAGCGGATGGCCGTTCTAATGGAGCACTGTACAAATTGTGGTCACACCCCCGCATAGCTGGCATTCCTGGAAGCTGGCAGCAGCTACAACAACGCGTAGTACCTCAAGTGGCTACTTGTCTGGAGGTCTTCTGGTTATATCAGCGCACTTAAAATATGCACTGTGACGCATCCACTGAAAGATACATACATATATGTATGCGTGTCAGCTGGCTGCTGGCTGCTGGCATCTACCTAGCAGCTCCCACATATTCTCGTATATGCAGATTACGCTCGCAGATCAGCTTGTAGTTGTAGTTGTAGGCGTAGCATGAAGCATGGCCATGCCCATGCCCATGCCCTGCACGTGTGCGCGCCACATGGCCAGCCGCTTGGACCGGTCATGTAAGTGGATGTGAGTGTGGACCTGGAAGTAAGTCATAGCTATGGGGCTGGACTATAGTATAACTAAATTATTGCCTGATCTGCTGTCTGAGATGCGCCATTTCTTTGCCATGCTGTGGCATCTGTGGCGCCAAATATGTTTGCCGCCGCGCCGAGAGCATAAACTGTGTGCCCGCACTCGCAATTAATAAAGCTGCCAAGGTAAAATAATGCGCAGAAATATGCAATTGAGCAAGCCGCTGGCCCCTGCTAACTGCAAGTCCCTCGTCTCTCGCCCCTCGTCAGTCGCTCTCACTTGTAATGAATTTATGACGCTTTTGATCGGCCGGCGAAGACGGAGATGGCGACGACGAAAGGCTCTCAAATCAGGCAGTGGCAATGGTAGCCACTTGAGTGGTGCATTGTGCGGGTGCACAAACGACTCAAGCAGCCGAATTAGCTCAAACTTATTGAGCTGCATGCTCCCTATTAAATTATTGACGCTTTTGATCGGCCGGCGACGGCGAAAAACCTCTCAAACCCGGCAGTGGCAGCGGCAGTAGTAGCCCCTTGAGTGATACATTGTGCGGGTGCACAAACGACTCAAGCAGGCGAAAAAGCTCAAACTCGATGAGCAGCATGCTCGCTCTTTAACTGTAACGATCGCTGGCTCTCTCCCGCCACGAACCGAGTGGCTGGCTTGCTTCGGCTATGAAAGCACTTGAAACGGTTGAGTTCACCATTCAGTGCAGAATAGCAGGCGCAACGAAGTAGAACGCACGAAGACGACGACGGAAACGGCAACGGCGCGGCAAAAATTATTGTGAGAAAAATAATTAAATGAAAATTCAACAATTTAAATCCGAATGTGAACAGTGAACAAATTAAGAAAAAGACCCCCTCGTGGCTTAAAAGTGTTAACTAAACAGTTTTGATGCTTAACAATTAACAAGTTGCAAAATAAATTATTTTGTTAAACTCGCTTTCTTTGCAGTCAGCTGAAAAGTCAGGTATTATTAATAATTATTTTATTTTCTTTTTTACTTAAAGACATTAGGCATATTAAAATTAAAGAAATACTCAAGCAAGCAAGCAAGAAACGCGCGCGTTTTGATTGCGTTTTTCAAACGCGCTCTGCTCTGAAAAGTGTGGCAGACGTCGAACTCGCAGTTGCAGCATCGTTGACACAGCGACACAGTTTTCCACACTCACGCACACATATGTAGCTGCATTTCTTTCTATTTATTTGTGCTCGAACATATTTGCGTTTATTTTTAATTTGTTTTTATTTCATTCTTCTTCTCGTTTGCCCGCTTTGCCTTCGCCGCGACGCATTTATTTTATAAATTTTGTGCTCAACTTTGAGTTTTCTTAATAGTTTTTAATGTCGCCAATTTGTAAACAAACTGCAGCCATAAAATATACAAATATTTCAGTGTTGTGCAATTTGGCATCATAAATCCGTTTAATATACATATACATATATAAACCTTAGCAGCTATGTGTATTTGTACGCATATGTGTAAAGCTTTTCCAACACGCTAAAAAAATGTCAAGGGAAGCTGTGCGAGGCGTTTTCATATTACGCATACGTCATGTGTCTCGCTTTTGGCATTGGCCATTTAACGACTTTAGGCCTAAAATAAGTAACACGAAACGTTTAAATTCCTCGAATTCAGTGTCGCTCTTTGCTAATTTATGCAACACTGACAACAAAATGTTTTTGCATAAACATGTGTCTGTCGGCCGCAAATGCATTTTAAATATATTTCTTTTATTTTTATCAATCCTGAGTTTTTGCAATGCTCTTGTAAGTTGCCTTTACTTGAGTTTAATTTTGCTTTCGTTGGGCACACGAATAAAGTCGCTTATGCCTTAGTCAGCTTCTTAATATTTTGCTATACTTTGTATTTATTCTTGGAATTGTATTCATGTAGCTCGCCCGATTTTTATATATTGTGCCAATATAAGTATACACATCTGTTGACTTATATTTACATTTTTTCGGCGAAAGCGATTTTCTTAAGCGGCAGCTGTCTTGTTTTGTTTTTTTCACCACAAAACTTGGGATTTAGGCCATATTGAATTTAATTTGCCCATTTGTATTGGCACGTTTCCGTGTAAAATGTACAGGAAAATATAACTAGCAATGACATTCCATAAGGTCAAACGAATTTCCGACTAACCAAAATCAAATCAATTAAAGGACTATGTCAGTGTAGTTAGAGACTTTAACAAAATATAACAAGAAGCTGAGTCTTGCCAAAATCGGGTTAAATTAAATTATATTCTATTGGAATTGTTCGGAATGGAAAAAGTTAGATTTTTAGTTCTTTGAGCAGAGGATGACTAACGCGCTTGTGTGTGACAAAATTTCCCGCCATTGTCATTGTTCATAAGGAGATACATTTTTTAGAAAGTGTTTTCACAAATTTTTGTTATTCATTAAAAGATGGATACATATATCATATAAATGTACATATACAGAGAGACAGAAAATTGGGCACGAAAATATGAAAATGTGAAATTAAATGAAATGGCAGAAATATTTGATATACTTGTCTGTGTTATTTAAGAACTCATTCATCAACCGAATAAGAATATTTAATGTAAAATGTTTTCACTGATATTTTTAAGATACATACAAAATTGACTACAACTACAACAACAAAATTCTACTGGAATAAATAGAATATTTTGATATCTTTAAAAAATATTGAAATGCCGGAACTTAGGCTTAAATATGTATTATGTACTTTAGATTTAAACTCAAAAAGAACTGATGCGCAGAGTTAATTATTATTTTATTATTTTTATTACTGAGTCAGTTGTTGCAATGTTTATCAAGCTTTTAACACGCCGGCCACAATTCTTCTGCACATCGTTCAGTGTCAATTTTTGGACACTGCACTCAGGTTCGAAAAGTCAGTAAAGTGTTTAAGGCATTTCGCCTTATACAGAGAATGATTGTTTATTATTTTACACTTGTTTGACTTTTGGCACAAGTCTGCGCCGTTGGCGACACACCCACAGCCATTTTCGGGATTATCTGTCAGACATTCGGGTGGGTGTTGTTGGTATTGCCGGGGAGGGGGGGGAACAAGCAGGCGACCACCAGAAATCCATTAATAATTTTCTTGTGCGGCTTTGCAATTAAATATTATTGTACAATTAAAACGAAATGCTAAAGACAGCGCAACAAAGACAACCATACAATTTATAAAGTTCGTTCGTGTAAATTTCAGACTTGCGAAATTTATTGACAATGATTTTTGTTTTTTCTGTCTCTCTGTCTGTCTCTGCTGCTGAAATTGGGTATGGATATGGTTATGGGATGGGGATGGGGATGGGAATGGGTCTACACGGTCTGTTTGGTTTCTGTGTGGGCCAAAGGCGCGCAAATTGACGTCGCCAGTGTTTGTCAATTTGCCTGATTGTCTGTCAGTTTTTAAATTTATTAAACAAGATCTGTCAAAGCGAAAATTTACGAATGAATATGGAATTTGTATTTTAACATTCACGCAGAGCAGAGCGAGTATAAAGACACTTCAATAACTCAAATGATAATTTGATGCATTCTTTAAGAATTTCCAAAGGCTGATTAATTGTCATAAATGCTTTAGCTTCAGTTGCCAAAAATTAAAAAAAAATTACTAAAAACGATGCCGTAAGCTTCAATTATTTTGATTTTATAGAATTTCGAATAGTTTAATTAAACTATGCAAGACAAATTTATCTATTGCCCAAACATATTAACTAATGAGATTTGCTGCAATTGCAACTTTTATGCACAAATAATCGAAGAGATATTTAAATTAAAAGTAGACCAGTTTTTTTTCTGAATCTTCGTAAAGTTATGATGAATGTATATATTATTTATTAATGTTTATTTCTTGTCATTAATATTATTTTCTTGTCTGTTATCAAAGTCTTCGAAATTCCGACATGAATATGTGCCGATGTCACGACACACTGCCTTCCATTGTTGTCTGTGCTTTGATTTCATTGTAGCAAATATATAAAATTACCAGCAATATACATGTGTGCATATATGCACACATTAATATCAAGAAGAAAACAATTGTTTTGGGTCCCAACATAAAGATATGTATATTTTTTTTATGACTTGCGAGGCAAACTTATGAATGCCCCAGGCAAAGCCATCCAAGCATCCAAAGGGTCAAGTTTTATTTGTTCTTGGTGAACATTAGCAATTTTAATTGAATTCCTTGTTACGCATCCTGGCAAGCCTCGGGGTGCTGCGTTTTGTTTACATTCCCAAGCCGCCGGCTCGAAATAATTTGTGTCATAATCAGCGAACGAAACATTTTGATTTTTCGAAACAACAACAGTGCAAATATGTTGAATATTGAATATTAAATGGGGAACGTCGAACGTGACGAACGCCGACACTTTAAAAACTGTGGCAATTTCGCATTTTGTTTATTTACCTACCCGAAACAGACGAGCGTATTGAGTGGCCATATATGAGAAATGCGTAAGATTTATTTTCGGCATTATGATGCCAGCATGCAAGTCACTGCAGGCTCGCTCGTATGTGGAGAATCGTTGTGTGCATAGAGAACGTATGTATCCATATAAGGAGCAACTGCGTTCACATTCACTTGAAGTTAATGATCCATTCAGCCTGAAGCAGCCAAATTGTTTCTGTACCGATGCGAGCCCGATATTTCAATATATATTTGCCAAGCAGCTTTAAGGGTTTCGACCCAAGCCGAAACGAACCATAAACGAATATGGTTTAAAAGGATACAATATTATGTGCAAATATATGCAACAACAAAAGTGAGCTAGAGACTTGATTCTCCTATACTAAACGCAGGATGAGCTCAGATTTCATTTTATCGATTGATTTTTTAAGCTAAGCTCAGAAACTAGAAGAGCTAAGCCACCAAATTAAGCATTTATCGAACGAATAGAATATTGCGCTTAGTTTCTATATTTGGAGTCTTCATATTTCTATATGTATATTAAGTACGTTATGATATTTTCTATAGTTTAGAAATGTATGCAACCATCTGTCTTGAAAGAAATCAAGAAACAGCATTTAGTAAGTATAAGCTTCCAAGTAAGAAGCTCTAGGCGGCAGTTTTTGTGTAAACCTTATTGGAAATGATTCTAATCTTCAGCTAGTAAACATTTGGCAAGCCAGGGCTTGTACCCAATCGAGGCTGCACATATGTGCAAAACCAAGTTCATGAATCGAAGTTAAGGCTAGAGAGTTGGTTCGAAAATCAATTTTTTTGGGCGCATGCAGTTGTGGTCAAACATAAGTGTAACGATTTATTAACCGGTACATGACTGGGTTTCGACAGCGATTTTCAAATAAATGCCAGTTGCGAGCGCTTTGTACTGGCGCCGCCTTGTCAAGATCACGTCACGCTAGAATGGAGCCGTCAAGCTTGGATGCAGTTGCAGTTGCAGCTGCTACTGCTGTCGTTGTTGCTGTTGTTGCTGTTGGTAATGCGTCAGTCGAAGTCAGAATTCAATTAGCAAACGAGGACTGACATTAACATGTCTTATCAGTTAGCCATTTATACTAACTAACAGGTGTCTGTCTGTCTATCTGTCTATTCGAATGCCTGAAGTCAATCGCGAGAGTAAAACGTTTATGTATTTGGCAATCACACGATTCGTAGCAGCAACCACATTTGCATGTCAAAGTTCAGCTGAGAAACGGCTTGACAATGAACATTAATCAAAGTAAACATATTTTGCTTGGCCAGTCAGGGCCATGGTTTCGGGCTCGGGCATCATTGATCATGCTGATTATGGCGTTGTCGATCGTGACTTTGATATTTTCCATTAATTTTCTTTCATTGTGCTCATGCGGCAAGCGGAAAAGCCGCCACAGACAAAAAGGTCGCCAGTGGGCAAAGAAAGTTTCGAGCTTGTTATAGAGATCGCCAAAAAACACCGAAACAGATAAAAAAAAAAAATAGTAGGAGCTTTTAGTTTTGGCGTGCAAACTGCGTTGCATTTTGCTTAT